ATATAATATAATATAATATAATATAATGTAATATAATATAATATAATATAATATAATATAATATAATATAATATAATATAATATAATATAATGTCCTTCCGTCTTTATATATTATAATAAAATATAATATCCTCCCCTCCTTATAAATTAGAATATAGTAAAATAGAATATCCTTCCTTCCTTCCCTGCTTCCTTCCCTCCCTCCTCGCTGCCTTGCATCCTTCCTTGCTTCTTTCCCTCCTTCCCTCCTTCCTTCGTTCCCTCTTTCCCTCCTTCCCTCCTTCTCTGCTTCCTTTCCTCCCTCCTCGCTACCTTGCATCCTTCCTTGCTTCCTTCCCTCCTTCCTTTGTTCCCTCTTTCCCTCCTTCCCTCCTTTCCTGCTTCCTTCCCTCCTTCCCTGCCTCCTTCCCTCCTTCTCTGTTTCCTTCCCTCCTTCCTTCCCTCCTTCCTTCCCTCCCTCCTTCCCTCCTTCCCTCCCTCCTCCCTGCTCTGAGTCTCTGATTTATCTCGCGTTGCGTCGGTGGGAGGCATTTGCATTTTTTTTTTCCTCTCCCACTCGTTTATCATAAAAAGATATCACAGTCCCACGCTCACTTGAGAAGCAGCACGATTCAGGGGAGGGTGGGAGGGAGGAATAGAAATAGGACGCTCACTTAGAAAACGTAATCGGCTCCAGATCTGTGAGTAACAGCTAAAAAAAAATCCCCAAAAAGTCAGCCGAGTACCGGGGATGTAATCTGATTACATGTAATCTGTTTCCCCCCCCCAGAGGAGTGAGGCGGAAGAGGAGTTTTAAATGGGATCAATCCCCAAAAAATCACAAAAAAAACTAACTCAAATCTGGAAACAAAAAGAATTCAAATAAATTCAGACAATAAAAAATGTGCTCCATGAACATGAACTCAACTTTTATCTGTTTTTTCAACCTTTGACTTCATATTTTAGCTCACAAAATGTGTTTAGATTTTAATTATTTTGACACTTGGGTCAAATTTGTTAGCAGAAACACAGTAAAATATTCAAAACGTTCATTTCCTTAAGGCACAACTGCGTGAAAATAACAAATATGGTGTTTTAAATAAATCAGAATCAGCAGTTTCTAAGATTTTGGGGGTTTCTGCTGGTGGTCATTTAGCTGCAGTTTTTCATTTGGGCCACTAGATGTCACTAAATCCCAGAGAGGCTTTAAAATATTCCTGTTAGAGGCCTGATGAGGAAGATGATTCTATACGTAAGAAGACAGCACATTTTTAAACACTTTTCCTTCCAATATCAGTTTTCATTCATGATTTTCTATGTTAATTTTTTTTTTGTTTTGTTTCTGACAGTTTTATTTATTTTAAGAATTAATGAGGGAACCATGGAAAGTTTAAATGTTTGGTTTTAAAATGTTTTATGAGTCATAGCAGAGTGCTGAGAGCTGATATTAAGAATGAGTAATTAGGTCCATACGTGTATAAATATATATATTATATATATATATAAGTTATATAAATAACGAATGCTCGGTCCTGGACGCGTTACCCTGCTGGAGCCCTTTTCTAAACCCCCTCGCGTTGGTTTCATTAAGCTAACCAACAGACTTTTTTACAGTGAATCCATAAAAATGCTGCAAATATTCTTCAAATCTAAACATAATTGAGTCTCTCTCTAAGTTTAAACAGACAGGAAATGCCCGTTTAGTGTAGCTGAGTGAGTCCTTTGTGGTGGATTTAACCCCAATTGTCGTGGTTTCATACGCTAACGGTCAGGACTCGGCTCAAGATGCAGAGTTTGGGCAAAAAAAACAAGGTTTTTATTGACAAAATTCACTCTCTGAGAGTAAACAAAGGCCATGAAAATCACAAAATAATAATCTCTCATACGAGGAACACAGAACTATGGACAAAGTGCAAAATAATGCTAACAAATAAGGATGGAAAACTACGAAATGCTAAATAATAATCGCTCTTTTGAGGAAAACCGTGGAGTATCGAGACGGGGAATTATCTATCAAAGGTCAAAGGTCAACAGGACCAAACCCAGACCAGGGGAAGGAAGACTATTAAACACATGGAGGAACCCCAGGGGAACAGAAAGGGGGATCTGGGGGGGGGCAATCAGACAGGTGACACACAGGAAGTGACCTGAAACCAGAGGGAAAGTACTTTTCAAAATAAAACAGGAAACGACCAGAACGAGACGTGAAAAAACACCCAACAAAGAGAGAGAGTTCAGGCCTGGAGGCGGAGCTCTGAGAGGCTCCGCCCCCAAAAGGGCTCCAAAAGCTTCCAGATCAGAGTCTGAGAAAGTCTCCGGGACTGATGGAAGAGGCTGAAAGGGAAGAAGAAGAGATGCTGAGGAGCTGAAGAAAAGCTGGAGTCAGGAATCAGGAGATCCAGAGACTGATCACAGAAAAGTTTAACCCAGAGCAGGTCTGAGGAGCAAGTGGAAACTCTGAGTGGCTAAATAACCAGAGAAACTGTCAGAAAGGAGAGAAAAACAACCAGAAAAAGAAAAAAAGATGTTATAAAGAGTAGAGAGATGAAGTTTAAGCTGGATATGAGAAAAAAAGGAGGGAAAACAACCAGAGGAAGAAAAAAAAGATGTTATCAAGAGTAGCGAGATGAACTTTGAGCTGATTCTGAGAAGAAAAAGGAGAGAAAAACAACCAGAAAAAGTACAAAGAGATGCTATAAAGAGTGGAAAGACTCATTTTAATCTAATTCTGAGAGGAAAAGGAGAGAAAAACAAGCAGAGGAAGAAAAAAAGATGCTATAAAGAGCAGAGAGATGAAGTTTAAGCTGATTCTGAGAAGAAAAAGGAGACAAAAGTTTAAACTTAGAGAGAGACTCAATTATGTTTAGATTTTTAGAATATTTGCAACATTTTATGGATTCACTGTAAATAAGTCTGTTGGTTAGCTGAATGATTTTTAAATCCGGACTTATCTGACCTCATTCTCATAAGAATTTAACCTTTTTGCGTGATTATTCCTGGTGATCAATCCGATTGTCCCAGTTCAGGCGCCGGGGGGGAATGGAGCCATCGACTCGGTCTGGGGGGGGGGGGGTCACGGGCCCAAGCCTGACCCCGGTCACCAGGACGAGGGCCAATCAGAGCAGAGCCACGGGTCAGAGCCCCAGGCCGGTTTCCAGGGACCGTCTGGGACAGTTTAGTGTGGAACAGAGTCAGGAAATATATAAAAACAGCAGCTTTACTGGGAACTGACCTGAGCCGATTCAGGCTTGATTAAAAAAAACTAAACTTTATTGCCTTAAATGCAAATTAACAGGCTATTAGCATCACAAATAAAAATAGAGCACAAACAGACAAACAGAAAAAATAAATCAATAATAAATTGGGTCTAATCTGTCACACGAGTAACACTATAAAAGGCATAGCATATATCTTATCTAGTTCTGTACGCCAAAAAATTTAAATTTTAGATTTTAAAATACCATAATAATAATAATAATAATAGTAATAATAATAATACATGGATATAGTATAAGTGTATAAGAGTCAAAAGCATAATGTTCAGTAACTGGGTTCCACTTAAAAACAGGTTCTTTTAGCTGTAATTGGTCAAATATTCATAATGTAAAAACGTTTTACTTCCTGTAACCACTGAGTTATAATGGAAGGTCAGTCTTCATCTGGTTAATAGTAATATTTGTTCTTAAATCATCAACAGAATGTGTAATATCTAACATTGTTCTGGTCAGGAAACCAGCCATTAGAAATAACAAAGGAAGCTCCACTGCCAACATTATTTCTAGGCTTTATTTTTTAATTTAAAAGTTTTTTTAAAGTTCCTTTGGAAAATGTGTAGACCAACAAAGTCCATGCAAGGGACATTGTGTAGTATTTTTGGTATTTTATTCACTAAAATAATCACTTTGCAACTTATTATCAATTTAAAATACCCAGGCGTGACAGTTTATTTCAAAGTCACACTGTGTGGATCCCCTTGTTCCAAACTAAATCATTACTTTATAATTTATTATCAGTAAAAAAAAAACTCAGGCGTGACAGTTTGTTTTAAACTCACTCCGTGTGGATACATTTGTTCCGAACAAAATTTTTATTTACAATTTATAATTAATTTTAAAAACCCAGGTGGGAAAGTTTCTTTTAAACTCACACTGTTTGGATCCACTTGTTCCAGACAAAATCATGACTTATAGTTTATAATTAATTAAAAACCTCAGGCTTTTAAACTCACTTGTTCCAGATGAGCCCTTTGCACCGGGCAGGAACCCGGGCTGTTGTTCTATTTCCTGTCTTCTCCCTGAACCTGAACCTGTCCCGTTTTTTCCCTTCTCCCTTCTCCCTTCTCCCTTCTCCCTTTTCCCCTTTCCCTGTCCCTTTTCCCTTTTCCCTGAACCTGTCCCTTCTTTTCCCTTCTCCCTTTTCCCTTCTCCCTTTTCCCTTTTCCCTTTTCCCTTTTCCCTTTTCCCTTTTCCCTTTTCCCTTTTCCCTTTTCCCTTCTCCCTTTTCCCTTCTCCCTTCTCCCTTCTCCCTGAACCTGTCCCGTTTTTTCCCTTCTCCCCTCTCCCTTTCTCCCTTTTTCCTTTTCCCCTCTCCTTTCCTCTTCTCCCTTTCCCGTCTTCTCCCTAACCCTTTCCCTTTTCTCCCCTCTCCTTCTCCCAGACCTGGCTTTGGAGCGTTCCCTGTTCTCCTGTGTTCTGCGGCCCTTGCGGGTTCCTCTGCAGCGGGCCCTTCAGGCCCTGCACAGCCGGGACGGCTCCTCCCACCGGCTGAGCCAGGGCCTGCTGCGTTTAAAGGCCCGCCGCGTTCCCGGCGGCGTTCCCGGCGGCGTTCCCGCCGGCGTTCCCGGCGGCGTTCCGCTGGAGCGCCTGCGGCAGAAGCTGCTGCTGATGAGACGCTCGCACTCGCCCATCGATAAGGTTCTGCTGCTGCTGCAGGTGTGCCAGAGCGTGCACCGCGCCCTGCGCCCCCCCGGTGAGATGCACACCGTTAGGAGCCGCGTTTAGGGAAGGTTGGGGGCCTTTTAATGTCAATGTCAATGTCAAATTTATTTCTATAGCACTTTAAAACAGGCATAGAACTGTCACACCTGGGGGAAATGTTGGTGTTTTTGGTCTTGTCTCCATGTTTCTGTCAGGGAGGTGGGTGTTGAAGGGAGGACTCAGTTGCAGAGATGAGGGGAAACAGGGTTTATTGTACAAAAACAGAGTGAATGTCCAGACAAAGTACAAATCAAGACTGTGGAAAACTGTGAGCAAAGTAACAAAGCAATAAGCAAACAAGACTGTGGCAAACTATGACTGTGACAAAGTAACAAAATAAAGATTAACAAAACTGTGACAAAGCTGTGGCAAAAACTGTGACTATGACAAAAAGCAAACCTGGCGTGGGGGAGACGAAAGACGAAACGGACAAAAACGCACTGGCACAAGACAAGGGGAAACGAGGACTATTTAAACACATGAGGGAGGG